AGACAAAATAAAATAGATAGATATAATAAATGGAATGGGGTTGATAGAGAACCGGCTACATGGTTACACGTATTGTCCCTGGCCATTAATGTGTGGGGCCAGCCACGTGGCCGCTGGCTATGTGGCGCTGCCTCGTCGTAATCAGTGGGACAATGCCGTAGATGTTTTGGCACAAAGCCAAGGAAGAAAAAGAAAATTAAATTTTGAATAATCAATCAACTCTGTGAAAGAGACACATTGAACACTTATTTCTAATTGTTTTCTTTCACCCTACCATAATACCGCAATAGCGGCCGTGGAAGACCCCGCCCCCAAGCAAACCCCGCCCACCGATAAGAAAGCATAGAACATATCAACAAGGTCATGAAAAACCGCAGCTGTCTGCTCATCGATCACATCAAATACTTAGTCAGAAGAGCAACTAAAATCCATCAACTGTTGTCAAAATATGTTGCGAGATTTGGGAAAAAAGTGAAGCATCGCGCGAGTGGCCTCCCAGGAGATAGAGAGGCCTAAAGCAAAAGTAATGGAAATGTAAAGTGCAGTTTCAGGGAAGACACGATGGGGGACAGTGAAATAATGGGCGAGAAGTGCATGTGGAGGCCGGCATGCACTGGCGCTGGGCTCTGCCATTGCTCCTTCATCTGTGAAATCTGATTTGGATTCGAAAACTTGTATTATTAAGTTGAGAGCGAAACCCGGTTCAAAAGTCTCATAACTGAAGCTCTTTGAGCTCTCATCCAGCAAAAAGGATAAGTTTCTCAAGCCAAATGGTGCGAAAGGGTGCAAGTTCAGCCCCTCCCCTTTGGGTTAGCTAAGTATAGGAGTGGATCTATGACAAATTAACTGCTAGTAACTGCAGTAGAGTTCAGTAAGTCTAACCGAGTCTCGAGTACACGTCATCTAGCCGCCTACGAATCGATCGTGCAAAGAAAGAAGCTGCGTCCACGCCCGGAGGCGCCAGCGGACGTCGACATCAACGATAAGCGCCCGTGACGTCGCCCAGTTGGTTAGATCCATCCCACTTCACTCAATTCACTGACTTTCAAGTCTGACGCGCAATAACTCGTGAGAAGATAGCACGCGCTAACCAATTCAGCACTTTAAAGTGAGTCCGGACCCGAAATTTTGGCACAGAGCCAAGAGAAAAATGTGGAAAGCTACTTAATTTTGTTTGTAACTGCTGTTTTTGCCGCAGTTCGCCTTGCGAATGTTTCACAAGAATGCTGGGTTGTGAACAAAACTTTCGCCCCAGGCGGGACTAGAACCCGCACCTCTCGCTTTCCGGGCAAGTGCGCTACAAGTTACGCTACCGGGGCACCATTCTCTCATTAGCCAATAAAAAATTCTCTATTCTATTAACAATAAAGTCCATGATAATGTAGGAACAACATCCCAGCCAAGTCACTAAACAGCGACTACCACAAGGTGCTCCGCTAAAGGAGCTGGCATGGATCCATCCCTTTCTAGGATGCGCCGCGCATTCTGCTTCCATGGAATTTAGATGCCATCCAATTTATACAACGAGTTGAGGAGCAAGTCAACATACCAATCAGCCTTTGATCCTCTCAAACAAGTTTGTTACCAATTTGCCAACCCCGGAGCGAACGAAAGTTCGGCTGGCCCTAGACGGCTAACGATCCAAGGTTTGATCCCTGGATCTCGCGCGTGCTAACCAGGAGCACTTGCCGTTGCACCATCCTGCTAAATATCCCGCATAAAAAGATAGCCTGACGTAAAATGAGACTCACGTGCATGGCTTGTTCTATGTCTAATAGACGGCCTTTGCTCAGAGAAGCCTTGCAGCGTTCCGTGAACTCATTGCAGGCCGAAAACAGAGGAGGCGGCTCGTGCCGGCTGGCTAAGCGGATTGCAGTAGGTCTCT